CGCTAAGAGACCATGGCTGGATATCAGGCTCAGGCAATCTATTCCTCCGCAGAGTGTTGGCTGACCAGCATCAATGCCACGCATTGTCAAATTATTAATTAAATGCATGCAAGCATAATCAGATGCAGACACAGCCAGACCTCTGGGACAGCAATTGAAGCAGAATCTAAATTGCAAACGTCTTGTTTTTCTTTTTTTTGTGTGTGTTCTTGTTCAATGCCAGCCAGCTAAGCTGTTTTAAGGAGCAAAACCGTGTGGCTTTTAAAATTTAGCATCACTTTGCATTCATTCAGCTATGTTGTGATGCAAAACATGCACAACCATGACTTTGCTTTGATGATCAACACTCAAAGGAAAATTTGTGCTAATTCAAAAAACTTGTTTGTTACAAACGTTTGCTGGTTTTTCCGGTCAAAAAAACAAAACAAAAAACTACACCCCTCAGGCTATGCATAAATTTGTCTACATATATAGGACAGATGAGATGCAGGTGCATGCAGTGCTATATATTGTTTTCATTCCCTCTCTATAGTTCAAAATGTAAATGCCACAGCTTTCAGAACTAAAGAAAAGTCTGACTCCTGCCACCGAATATTTCATTAACTTTTGTTAATGTAGTTGCTATGGCTCCAGGGTATTTGCTGAATGCTCATAGTACTTTTGCTGAAATAATAAGATCTATCAGTCACTGCTGAGCAAAAACAGCTTCATTTGCAGAATAAAGGTCATTCTTGCTGTTACTTTTGAGAAAATCTGACAGAGAACGGCACGGTGTTCAAAACGCACCAAACCAAAAGAAACTACTCTGAAATATTAAAGTCTATTGAGGTGCTCACATGTAATCTGGAAAATCAATTTCATATTTACAGGTGTGCCATCAGAATGTCATTGATAGGTTACTTTGGTAATTTTGACTGAAGCAGTGAAACTTATTTTACAGTGATTTCTCATCTACAGTAATATATTTCAAGAATTTAATTCTATTCATTGTGATGATGTGATGGCGTACAGCTGATAAAAACTCAGAATTCATTTCCTCAGAATATTAGAATACTGCATAATAGCAAGAAAGGGGGATTTTCAACACAGATAGGTTGTGCTGTAGCCCTAATGGCCAACACCATCATATGGGAGACTGCTGACGGAAAAGGTCAGGAGCTGGTTGTGAACATAGTGTTCTATCCAGGCACTCAACTTTCATTAATTGAAAGTTGAGTGGAAGAAAAACATGTGGCATTAAAAGCGTATAACTGGCAGGAAAAGCCCAGAGTCTGAAGGAAGAGAGGAGAGCTGTTCGTGTTTCCACCTGCTCGAAATCTTGTGGAGTTGCTGATTGCATTTTCTTCTTCTTCTTCATCGGGACTTCAGCTCCTCTTCACACCACTAACAGAAGCAATGATAGCTTTAATATCCATAGTATTGCTGTACTTCATGGGGGGATAAATTAGTCTGACTTATCTAAATCCCAAAGATAATTTATGGAGTTAAGAAAAAGATTAGAGCCAGCAGAGCAGACAATGCAGATGAGCTGCAATAAAGAACCCGGTTCTTTTAACGCCTGGTTCTTTTAACACCACAGACTCCTGCTTGCTGCGCTGCATCGATGCAGTAATTAATGCAAAAGGTACCCTAACGATTACTGTACTGTGCATATAATGTACACTACATGCATGCACTTTTCAGTATTTCAAAAATACTTTTTTTTTTTCAAGAAACCGGATTATTGGGTTCCATTAATTGTAAAGCACAATTATTTAAAAAAAATTACAGATATCTGGAAAATACCACTGTTTATAATAAACCAATTCAATATGTGTTTACATTTTGAAATAAATTACTGATATATATATCAATCAATCAATCAATCAATCAATCAATCAATCAATCAATCAATCAAATTTTATTTGCATAGCACATTTCAGCAGCAAGGCATTTCAAAGTGCTTTACATAATTAAAATAAAAACAGCATGTGAGAAAGAGTTTAAAAAATATATATCAACATTTTAATTGTATTGTAATCCTTTGAGATGTACCAGTACAACACTGAAATTACTTTTCAGTGTTGTACTGGTTTTTCAGATTTGCTCTTGCAAATAAATTAACTCAGTTCTAATAGTCAAAATTGTAAAATGTCAAAGAAAGTCATTCTGGGAGCTCCCTGTAGGAGAAGCTGCTGGGGGCAAAGCAGGCTTAAAGGAGAAAGTATTTCTAAACATATATGAGGTGCTGGCAAATGTTTTCAAATCCTTTAATTCGTAAGAGATGAAAAGATTACTGAGCTTCTGTCTGAATTAGGAGCTGATCAAACATTAATTGCACGTATAAAAAAAGAAGGAAAATACTGTCTTGTATGTGTCAAACAGAAATATAAAATTGTGGACCGTTTTCACAGATTTCGTCTCGAAATGACCACGTGAACGTGTAGAATCCAATCCCCACACCACGGAAAGCAATTTTCCCTGTTTTTCATTAGAAGATGTTCTGGTGAAATAAGAAAGCTGTCAGCCTTTTACAGGCCCGCTCTTTCATTAATCAGCACTAATTAAACATATTGATTAAGCCAAACATAGGGATTTCCAGCTGAAAGGCTTTACTAGACAGTAAAACATACACACACACACACACACACACACACACACACGCACGCACACACAAACCTTCATAAAATTCATGAGCAACCTTTGCACTCTTGTAGGATCCATTCGTTTGGAATAGCTCAGAAAAGTAAGACAGAGGTGTCTGCTCACTTCTCATTAAATAATGTCATAATTCACGTCTCAATGGCAAATTTTGTCCTTGGCTCTCTCCTGAGAGAGCTGAAACTGCTGAAGCTGAACTGAGTATCAATTTGCTTTCACCATCGATGAGCGGAAAAAACAAAAAAACAAAAAAAAAAGAAAAGATGTTTGAAATCACAGTTTCAACCTCAAAGGACCACCAGGTGGTTTACAGCAACAACCTGCAAATCACAAGATTTAATGAAAAGTCACTTTTCCTGAGGGGATGGGTTTAAAGCTGCAAGTTACTTTACAGTGTGACCAAATGCACGCTGTGTCCCGGCAGACCGAATGAAAAGGTTCCAGAATAGACTTTCATTATAAATAATCCAACAATTCAAGGAAAATAGGGTCGCGTTAAATTTGTTCTAATTTTTTTTTTATACTGATGAAACTTTAGGAAGTGTAAAAATAAAAAGTTAATTGAACATGATGAAAATTATTTTATCCGTTATCACACTAATCCGACACTGCTCTCGAAGGAAAGAGTAGTGGTGGTGTGTGACAATTTTTCAGATAAAATTTCAAGAGAAAAAGAACATGCATTGCCTTGTTAGTTTTTAATTAGGTACTGTGGAAAATAAGTTTACCGAAAGATAAATTTTGATAAGCCTGATGTCAGGATTGTTTATGAGGGTTACAAAAACAAACAAAAAAAAAGAAGTACTTTATTAGATAAAAACTTAAAAAAAAATTAGGAGAGAATTGATGTTCCACACTAGTTGGCTCTGAAAGTACTGAACCGAAAAAACATTCAACGAGTCGGAGAGCGCAAAAATGTAAGAATTTAAATTACTTTAATAATTGATTTGAAACTGTTGTGACAATGGGATTGCTCATCTAACATCTTAATACAACGGCAAACAATATTTAAAAGTTAAACATTAGTTTCGATAATGTGAATTATTCATTTGGATTTCTGTGGATGTTTTTTGTTTGCCTAGTTATGTGGGGAGGGTGAGGATGAGGGAAGCCAAACAATAAATCATTAAAGACTAAGAATGTTTATCCAGAGTAGTTAGAAATCTACTTATTTATTTAAAGCGCCTTATTTAAAACATTCTTCTTTACAACAACAACAAACATTACACCAATGCACATGCAAAGCGTCACTCTCAGGGTCAAAATGAAACCTGCGTGGCTCTAGTGCCGAGAAGCATTAGCGATGAATGACTTCATGACAAATTGCTATAATGCAGAGAGCCCATGCAGAGCATGTGCTGTAATATATGCAGCTCAAACAGGGCCAAACAACACTATCTACAGCAGTGATTCTGATTGCGTGGGTGTGTGTGTTTATGTGCGTTGTTTGCATTTAGCTGGGATTTGGTTTAAAGAAAGAAAAAAAAAAGATAGATTTTACAAAGGACCATCTTGGGCTGTTTATTTTTTCCCACAGAGGGACTCAGCCGCTGTAATGATTTCATTATCACACAGTGGTGCATGTCTGCTCGTTGGAGACTAATGCAAGTTTAATCAGCTGCTTCAGCTTGAACTCTATTGTCATCTAGTGGCTCAGGAATGACATAGCATGTCTAATTTCTAAATCCAAAATCACCGCTTATCCTATAAGTCTTAGAAAATAAAGCATTTCCTTAACCAAGGTTTATAAACGAAATGGACATAGGAAAATGTCCGTTTAAACATTCAACACGTGGTAGAAAATGCAAATTTAAGAATCAATCAGATTCACAAAACTTCTCAGAAATCCGGAAAGCACACACACAAAAAAGATAACAATAAAGCAGCTCGGATTAATTATTCACCCTGCAACACATTTCAGACTCGTTAGTCTTCAGGGGCTCCAATTCAGCTTTTACATAGCATAAACACATCTTCAAACTAGTACTTTTCGTGGCAGAGATGACTGAGACGCAAATGAAAACATCACATCGGCGAGCACGCTGCAATAGATTTTTAGGACTCTCTGGGATGATACAGCCTTTTCCTCTGGCAGAGAAAACACATTTCCAGGGATAGACTCGCCAACAGTCTAATCAAATAGAAAGCTAAACCAGCAGCAGCGCCAAAAAACACTGCACCGCAAGTTTATACGTGACATCGACAAAACGACAAAAAAAAAAATAAATAAATAAATAAAATTGAAACAGATTTGTCACACGCTGGCAATGATGGGACTGCCACACATCATCAGTCTCCTCTTTTTTTTTTTTTACTTATTCAAGCCCGGTTTTGCGGGACAAAAAGGCATTTAAACTCACCGCCGTTCGAGAAACCTGAAACTGCAAGTTGTCGCCCCACAGAACAGTAGAAATTAGAGCCTCCACTGCCCGACGCGGAGCTCCATATGCCGAAAGTGGGAGCGCAGGTAGTTTGTGGAGTTCAAACTGAGCAGAAGTCAGGTGTGAGTGAGCGCCTCCGCCTCCGCCTCCTCCTCCCAGCTCTCTCTCCTCTCCACGGGGGGAAGCGCGGCCCACTTTAAACTCTGCTGACGTCATAGGTGCGGATGCTGCCCCCAACACCCACCTCCATCCATCAACCCCACACCTCCACAAGCACCCCCACTGTCCTGTCCGGTAACCACCAACGACACTGGTAAAACAAACTGAAACCAGTCGGTGAACGGACCTGCTTACATTTTATTTGGACAGGTTTTAAATGTCTGAGTAGAACACAAGTGAAAACCATTCCATCCAGTTAAAGGTGAACTTCCTCGCGCTGTCTTTTACAAGTCGTATGACATCATTTAAAAAAAAAAAAAAAATTCTAAGTTGACATGTTAATTCATAATACAGCCCATATCAGTTTTGCCATTATCTGCTGGACACCAACCAAGATGACCTTTACAGTGAACCAATATCTAAATACCTAAAGGTGAATTCTAATTAATAGCAAATACTTTTAGAATAAAACAGTCAGAAATGAATATGCATGCTTAAAATGTATGTACTTTTAGTGACTAACATTTAATACGCTAAAATAAAACAAAAGTCATTTTGACCGTTTGGTTTGAAACTGGAAATAATTATTGGTTTGTGATTAAGTTTAAAATGTAAGAATATACCTCAATAAAAAGTTGGAAAGTAAAACAACCACAACTATAAGCTGTGGCAGTCATTAGAAATGACTGAAACACACCCCACTCATTAGAAATGACTGAAACACATCCCACTCATTAGAAATGACTGAAACACATCCCACTCATTAGAGATGACTGCCACATGATTAGGAATCTTAGCTTGCAAGCAAGCCTCCCAAAATATCTCGTTACAAAGTTGATATGTTAAGCAATGCATTTAGAAAATGAAATGCAAAATGAAATAGAAATAATTGAATGGCTGATATTTAATATACCCTAAAATTCCAGCTTGTAGTGAACATTGGAAAAGTTTAAAGTCTAAAAGTATAAAGTCTATAACCTATATATTATTAGACACTTGGTCTTTTCTTTTTGGTATCCATCAAGGATCATTTATGTTCTTTTCATACATGACTAAAATATTCAAAATTATATGGTGTGAAAGTAGGCAAATTGCCTGGAAAGACTAAATTATTATAATTAAAAGCTATATATTTCCGCAAGAATGCACACTTAAAGTTCTCTGTGAACCCTGAAAGAAAGATCAAGCAGCATAAAATCATTCACATGTACTGACACTTCTCTGCCTGTGACAGGTATGCTAAAGCGTAGAGACAAAGTTATCAGATGTCTCTCTGTCCGTCCGTCCGTCTGTACATGGAGTAGAGCAACATCATGCCTTGTAATCTGGATGGGTTGACAAGATTCCCATGTCGATTTTCCTCATGAATGATTACCCTCAGCAGGACTTATGCTCTTGCATTGATATTTAAAGCCAGCTGAGGTTGGTGAGTGACCCAGTAAGCAGTTCCATATTATACAATAACAGAGTAGGTACTTAAAAAATGTCGTATTTTAACTTACTTGGCATTTCGCATTAACACTAACCACATGGGCAAATACAGCATGCTTCAGTCCATTTCTCAGGAGGCACAGTAGCCATTAACTTCTACTCTTCCATCATCTATCCATCCATCCATTGGAAGGACATCCAGACTTCATACAGAAAGATCCCAGACCCAGACACTGAACCATCATGCAGCCAGCTGTAATATCAATAAAACAACACATTTTTAATTGTCTTTTTGCCCTAGTGGTTAAAAATGTATCTTTGCATGTGCATCTAAACATGTTTTGATACCCTTCACACTGTGGAACTGAACAGCACAAGATCAAATAATAGCAAAAGGATTAGCTAGTATACATGCAAAATACACCAATGATCAAGACTAAGCATGATTCTAATAATGTTTACCATAAAGGCTTATCATAAAAATTTTTTAAACTTACTACCTTAGGGCAATGACCCTGATTAAGAAAAGCTAACACAGTCTCATTAAACAAAAGGTTTGATAATTTATTATTTCCTTCCAATTTCCATTTCTTTTTCAATTCACCCCCAAACAGAGCACCGTTAAATGACCCCAAGATTGTCGTTCCCCACTTAAAAGCAAAGTTGGCTAGTTTGTAGTTCTAAAAATAGGAGCGCCACTAAATCACAATAATGGTAACGTGTCAGATCTGTTTTTTTGACCTCCCCTTCCTAGATACCTAATGACTGCCTGAGTGAGTTGTCATTGGCACTTCTGCAACCATACAACCTGCCCCAAGTGTTCACATCATCAGATGATGTCAATGAAAAACTCATGTTACATAGATCTAAGCATAAAAAAATAAGCTGATTTCTTGGAACATCAAGACCTTTCACATTTTTGAATTATATCTCATTTTTGATGTGCTCCTATTATCAGTAGTGTGTGTTTACTGGTATCAAGGGTGTATAATTAAGAGAGTGTGATTTACTTTTGCCTTGACGTTGTCACCTCATTTCCTTTTTTCCTTTCACTGTCCATCTGGGGATGACAAGCCAATTCTTTATGACTCCTCAAAAGTGGTCAGATTATTATTATCTGAATGAATCAGAAAGAGTGTTGTGATGTTTAAAGCGTTTTGAATAAAGAAACACGTGAAGCTGCACCAGTGTGTACAATAAGTCATATTTTTATTGGGTTATTGCTGCTATATTTGAATCATGCTTGCTTTGATTTTCTATTAATGGTACATAGCGCATAAGGTCTAAGAGCTGCAGTGTTCACTTTGTAGAATTTTTCCAAAAGTTCAAAGAATAAGTGACAACCTCACGGATGAAACTGTGTAAGATACAGGGTCAAAGGTGTAGGAAGAAGATGCTGAAATATTACTTACCTAAGGCATTGTATTTTCCCACACCACTGAAGCGCAAAGCAGATATGCAATAGAGTGAAATGAGTATTAGTAATGTTATTATTGAGTCATTGCTGCAATGTTTGAGTGGCATTTGCATAAATTCCTTGGTCGGGGTGGATATCTGGAGAATATATGCTGTCTCTAAGTTGCATAACTCATGTTGCATGATTTTTCTAACACACCCCAAAAATTATCCCTAGTTTGCATAGATGCATAGAAATCAGAGCATTTTTTATTTTCATTTAAAATGATGCACAATTTTACATCAGTAAAACACAAAACAAATAATCAATAATGTTGCATGGTGTAATTTTTTTGGTAACATTATCAGAGCAGCATGAGATTAAATTAAGTAAGTAAGAAATCAAATATAAAAGCATACTGGCAAAATGTGCTCAAAAGCCTAAAATATGAGTGAAATCAGTTTGTAAATTTCTATCAGCACATACCAGTTGCTTTTGATTAGTGCTGCACAAATTTCAGGCTGTTGCCCTTAATGTTTAACCCAAACCTTTTTCTATCACCAGCACTAAAACAGGATGTCTGATATTTACAAGGTTCTTCATTCTGGCCACATATATATATATATATATATATATATATATATATATATATATATATATATATATATATGAGTGTTCAATTTTTGTTTTTTCACACCTTATCAGAATGTGTTTTCAGCCACATTCAGTGCATGCGTTCCTTAGTGCACTGCTGTTGGCCCTGTTCCAGATGAACTACATCTGCCCAAAACTTGTTTTTATTTCTGTCTTTTCTTATTGAGTTATCTCACAGAAACAGAAGGGCACAGCTCCACCTTCCACCACCCACTATTGGCATAACAACATTGTGTCTTGTTTTCCATATGATTTTCTGAAACTTTGGAAAGAATTAAATCACTACTGTTCATATTTCGTTTCTTTATGTCAATCGGGCATAACAGGAAGCTTTATGAAGATTTGCATTTGTCTTTATAATCACTAAAGCAGTAAAACGTTTAGGCCCATACCTGAATCTTGCAGAGGACACAAACCAGTTAGTGAATTTAATGAAAGAAAAACAGCATCAGGCACTTAAACGTTAAATCCACACTAGCTTGACTGTGGAGAAGCCCTTTAAATCTGTACGAAGCTCCAAAATAATAATCACAAGGTTAGATTTATATGACAGTGAATGAGCGAAGCCCCATACCATTGTATGCGAGTGCCTTACAATGGTTGAATTTGTGCCTCTGACAAATTTAGATGTTTGTGTCTCCAACTACTGGCTTTTCTTCTTCTCTGTCGGCGCAGCTGCCTGCTGTTATCTGCTACTTCAGAAGCTGCCTTTGTGGCCTGCTGTAATCCCTGACCACAGATCCCCAGCTCCCCAAACAAAGTAGTGGCGGATGAAGCAACAAATCCAGCACATCAGACAAGAAGTAGTGCATTCTGGTTTTCCAGCACGGCTGTACATCCTTCACGAGTGTTTCTGAGCCTTTTATGTCTTGTTGCTGGTATCCTCATGGAGCAACGGCGGCTGCAAGAAAGAGCAAATAGGCTCTTACTGTTAAAGAGCTGTTAAGGCCTCATCAAGCGGTAGATTAGTGTTACCTAAGCATTAGTTTGGTATAAATTATGGTACTCTGATTATCAGAAGGATCTTGGATTGTTTCTTGGGTTTTCCTGGGTTTATTGATCATTTTTCCCCTATATCTCGGCTTAAAGGAGTAATATTATGTATTTTTTCAGATAATGTAGCATAGTCAAGTAACTATGTTACCTTCAGTTGCTATAAAAATACTCTATATACAATGATCGTTCTTTATACCACTTACAACTGTTCTTAGGAGCTTTGAACTAAGAAGTAGTTTGATAAGCTCAGCAGACTTACAGTCCCACCATGTGTTTGCTAATTGCTGCTGCTGCTAGTCTGGAGGAGCTAAGTGGGGTAGAGATGCTGTGTGAGGTGGAAGCTTGACTGGATATTGCCACACTAAAGAAGAGCTTTGTTGAAATAGGCAATGCTTTGCGAGACCAAGCACTTAAGCACCCCTGAATGGCTGCCACAGGAGATTCAAGGACTTCTCAAACATGCATGAAAGAATCAAATAAACACTCCAGGTATGTAATGATGAGCGAATAACATACCATGATATAAAGC